GCGCTATCCCGGCGTGACACAGAGGAGGGGGCGCTCCTCACGCTTTCGGCCTCGCGCTTCGACTTCATCGACCGCCTCCGCCAAGCACAATAAACCGACCGGCTTTAGTTGGCCTTCGCGAGGACATCAGCGCCGGCTCCCACGGGGCGCCCTGGTCGGTTGTAGACGGCATGATCCAGTTTGTCGGGCGGCTGTAAATACCGCCAACCTCGCCTTTGCTCTAGGAGATCATGGTGGCTGTCCACGAGGACGGACATGAGGGGGTTCAGCGCATGCTGCACCGACTGCGGCGCGACTTTCATTTTCCTAACATGAAGCAGTTTGTTCAGGACTTGGTGCGCACGTGCGTCGTCTGCCAGCGATACAAGTCGAGCATTTGCACCCGGCTGGCCTCTTGCTTCCCCTTCCGGTGCCCCAGGGGATTTGAACTGAAATCGCCCTCGACTTCATTAAAGCGCTCCCTCGCATCCGTGGCAAGTCCGTCATACTGACCGTGGTGGACAGGTTCAGTAAGTATTGCCATTTCATTCCACTGGCGCATCCATACTCCGCCGAATCTGTCGCTCAGGCATTCTTCACCGAGATTGTACGACTACACGACATGCCCCGATCCATGGTGTCGGACGAGGACCCGGTCTTCACGTCGGCGTTCCGGGCGCGCGAGCTCATGCGCTCGATGGGTACCTAAGTCGCACATGACGATGGCGTTCCATCCTCGATTCGATGGGCGGTCGGAGGCGCCAACCCGCGTCATCATCATGTACTGCGGTGCTCTCACCGGGGACGAGCCACGCAGCGATGGCTCTGCTACGCTGCTGCCTCGGCGGAGTTCGTCTTCAACACCGCCTACCGGTCGTCGCTGCGGGACACGCCCTTCCGTGTCGTCTATAGGCGTGATCCACCGTCCATCCAGTCGTATGAACCGGGCGAGATGAGGGTGGCTGCTGTCGCCAAGAGCATGGAGGAGCGCGCAGAGTTCCTGGCCGACATCCACTACTAGCTGGAACAAGCTCAGGCGACGCAGAAGCTGCACTATGACAAGGCGCACCGCCACGTCGAGTACCGGGTGTGGGCGGCTGGCGCCTCCGTCTCCAAAGCAACGCGGCGGCGTTGTCACTTCCCCAGGCTGTCACCGGCAAGCTCAAGCCGCGCTTCTTCGGGCCGTACTGCGTCATCGAGCTAATCAATGACGTCGCGGTCCGCCTCGCCTTGCCGGCCCGAGCTCGCATTCACGATGTGTTCCATGTGGGGCTGCTCAAGAAGTTCCAGGGGCCGACGCCGGACACTCCTCTGCCCTTGCCGCCTCTGCATCATGGCGCCGTCGCCCCTAAGCGTAACGTCTTTGTCGCTTCCATCCGCTCACATGGGGTGCACCGAGTTCTTGTCCAGTGGAGGGGCGAGTCGGCGACAGATCCGCGACACAGGAAGATGTTGAGCCGTTCCACGCCAAGTACGCGGAAGTCCAGCTCGAGGACGAAGTTGCTCCTCGGCTGGGGGGAGATGTCATGGTCAAGACGTATTCCAGCAAAGCGCGCCGCCGCGTCTTGCCATAGCGCTGAGCGCCTTGAAGCGCGTCTTGAGGCGCAAGACGAGGACGCGCTAGGCGCGATCACCGTTAGTGGCTGAGAGGAAAATTAGAAATAGCTTTCTATTATTAGTTCCTAAATTAAAGGAGCATATTGCTCCGGTTGGTTGAGGCCAAGGGTCATATATATATCCCTGTAACAGACGTGTGGAAAAAGGGGAGAAGAATATTACCGATCTAATCTTCCTCCTCTCTTCAACCAAGCCTGCGGCAGAGGATTAACCTCGCCGGAGAAGATAGACCGAGGCTACGAGCTACGTAGCCGAGGTCCAGCTACTCGAGGGTTCAACGCCCTTGACATTTTAGTTGTTTGCTCGCGCTTGTGACACAAATGTGTGGGTGTATCCAGGTGCTTGATGTTGCAACCAGATAGTTCAAGGGACGCTCAACGTAGTCTCTTGAGTGCATCTGCTCCGCCGAATAGGAGGGACCAATGGAGCGCTGATGCTTTGCTTGGGGTCTCCTCTTAGTTCTGATCAGCTCGTTTTCTCTTAGATTTTGCTTGCTTGCTCCGTCTCGACTACTAGATCTACGACTTCTTCCGCTTTTAGTTGTTTTTGGCATCCCAGTCTGTACAGGTGCCCTCGTTTTTATATGCTGAGACGAAACGGTTTTTCCTGACCTGTAATTTGAAGCTTTATGATCATCATCAAAAGGGATGACTGTTTTGCCTGCCTGCGCGCTGCCTGAGTCGGTGAGTGTGGGTGATACACCAGTTTTAGAACTATGGCTTCTTTTGCTTTCAGTAGTTTTTGGCATCCCAGTTTGTACAGGTGCACTCGTTTTTATATGCTGAGATGAAACGGTTTTTCCTGACCTGTAATTTGAAGCTTTATGATCATCAAAAGCGATGACTGTTTTGCCTGCCTGCATGCTGCCTGAGTCGGTGGGTGTGCGTGATACACCAGTTTCAGAACTACGGCTTCTTCTGCTTTCAGTTGTTTTCGGCATCCCAGTTTGTACAGGTTCACTTGTTTTTATATGCTGAGACGAAACGGTTTTCCCTGACCTGTAATTTGAAGCTTTATGATCATCAAAATGGATGATTGTTTTGTCTGCCGGCGTGCTGCCTGAGTCGGTGGGTGTGGGTGATACACCAGTTTTAGAACTACGGCCTCTGCTGCTTTCAGTTGTTTTTGGCATCCCAGTTTGTACAGGTTCACTCGTTTTTATATGCTGAGACGAAACGGTTTTCCCTGACCTGTAATTTGAAGCTTTATGATCATCAAAAGAGATGACTGTTTTGCCTGCCTGTGTGCTGTCTGAGTCGGTGGGTGTGGGTGATACATCAGTTTCTGAAATGATACCCTGCAGGTCCAGGGAGGACAGAGTTACCATATACGTATTTCACATCAACCAATCATATTTGGCTAACACTACTAGAGACAACAGATGGCATGTTCCTGATAAATGAAGGTGATTTGTTTTAAAATGTTTGGATGAAAGACAAATGAACACCATGACACCACATCTAGTCTGATTAGTCTATAACATGAAAGCATATCGTTTGTGCAACAGATCTCCAAGTGGTTGCTTGCAACTAACAAAAATGAAAATGTGACCAACCTAGGAGGAACTGGGCGATTTTTCATTATTAACAAAGAAATAAGATACCCAAGTTCGAGTAGAAGAGGACTTAAACCTGCACCCAACCAGTTGAGCTAGGTTCACTTTCTATTGCTTGCGTCTAACATAAGACACAATTTGAATAAGCAAACATTCACAACCACAATTTTAGACTTCTCCTAGTGAGGTGGGCTTCTTCTAGTGTTTTAGCATTCAAAATTTAGTATAAATTTTCCCTACTAAATGCCTCATAGTGAGATTCACATGTGCTATGAGTAGTGGTAGTATTTTATTACTACTTAAAAACACTAGGAGAAGTCCACCATTTTTGTAGTGATTACTAGTTTACCTGGAAAATTGAGTTCATTGCCATCCCCAAGCAGCTCTTGCTGTTTCCTTTTCATTGCAGAATTTCTCTAAATAAATAGTACAAGACAAGTTATATACATTACTTTATATTATTGAAATTATCAAGAAATTTGCCCCTGGAGTTTTAACAAGGCATCCCAGAAGGAGCCATCTTACCATTTCTTGGATTCGCTTGCGGTCATCATCATTGAGTAAGAACTGAACCTGAAGAATTATTTTCCCTCCACTATCAAGAGTAAATACTGCATCCATAGTTCCTGACTCCACAATTGCTTTTGTCTTCAGCTCTGTGGTGATTTTGAAAACATATAAATCAATAGATGTTGGTAAGTACAAAAAGAACGGTGAATAACCAGCTAAAAAAACCTGATTTCGATATCAATTCCTTGCCTGCATTGTACATCATTATTACCATACTCTCCCGAAGTGATGTAACAGGGCTGCACACCACACATATATTTGGTTGTGATGAAAATAAATGAATGATGCACTAGTCAAATATCAATTAATGGAATATATGAAAATGAGCTTACAAAGATAAATCATCTTGTTCTATGTTCCCACTGTATTCTCTTTTGCCCACAGCGACTGCATGGAAAATGTATTTTACATATAATACAGAAAATTAGCAAATGGAAAGCAAAACGAGGAAAGAAAGTAGAATTCGGAGATTCAAACCTTGCAAGAACAGAGGGGTGATGACTGGTGGTTGAGTGGCTACATAGTAAAAAGGAAAATGGAAAAAGAAAAGGATCACAATCAGTTCTTGCTTCCAACAGAACAATACGAGAATTTTTTTAGATTTTCAAGTAAAACATAGTTATGAATGATAGGACAAGAAATTGCCTGATATGTGGATGCTTCCAGGCATTCTTTTCTGAATTCCTGCTTGGTGCTGCACAGAAGCCCTACAATACTAATCTTCTAGAGCATAGAGAAGAAGATACACCAGCTAGTGGATGTTGTTTGGGCAAGCTGGAGTTGTGGCTGGCTATCCATAGCCACTGGGTCTCTTGGGACCACAGGAAGAGTTGAAGTTTGGCTCCTTCTGTTGCTATCAAAAGACATACACCCAAAAATTGTGAAGAGAACACCACATGGTTTGCATTAAGTGGTTAAGAATATTCTGAATAGGATTGGGGCCCAGTTGCAGTCTCAGCAATATGTTACATGGCATTCGATGGGCTTACTCATCACCTGAGAACCACAGAACATAAATGTCAACAGAACAAATCGTGGATGGAACAAAATAATTTCACACAGAAGTTTTTTTTTTCTTTTTTAGTCTTGAAGAATCTCTAGAACCAATGCACACAATACTAGTTTGCATCCACACAACCTTTGGATCGAGGAGGCTAAATCATGGAGACATAAGTTTACAAGATAGCACAGTACTGTGCTTGTACACAATCCAATCAGGCCCAACCACCTTCCTGGTGGAACACTAGACACAAAAGATCCAAAAAGACAACTGGTGAGCTCATAAGCTTGGGAGGGATCCTGCTCGGATGAACTCCTTGAGAAGGGCCTTCTCCTCATCAAGTTTCTTCTTCTCGGCAGCATTGCGTGGCTTGATCTTCCGCTTCTCTTCCAGCATCCATTTGTAGAGCTTGCGCTGGTCATCTTCAGGGATTGGTGGGAGCTCCTTTCTGGGCACAGAGACTGGTTCGGCAGGCTTCCCAGCAGTTGCAGCAGATGCAGTAGCAGGATCAGTGGTTGAGTCCTTTCCTGAGTCCTTTCTGTAGCTCCGCACGAGTACATAAGCTACATGTTATAGAAAGAATTCAGTAAACCAACCCATCTAAAGATTTGATTTGAGCAAGCAGCCAAGCACAACCTTCAGAACTGGAAACAACAGCATCCCAGCACTTAAGTCTAGTGCATATTTATCTATTTGATGAAAGAAACATGCTGGCGTAATCATGAACAAAACATCTGCGCGTTCATAATTGGCGAGTGTAACCCAAGACCTGAGTCATGTTTTTGTCAGATCAATTGAAAGCATTTGAGCCACATTTGGAACACCAGATAACACCACTATGATCAGGTTTCTGTTTGTGGAAAAAAATGGAGTATGATCGGCCCACTATATACGTTGCTATACTAAACACATCACCTTCAATTATGGTTGCATCTCATTTTTACAGGTTCTTCATTGCTTTCTACTGTACCATATTCTAAGCAGAAAGAAAGCTCAGCCTACACTGTAGGGGGTAACCAACGCTAACTGCTGATTGATTATGAAGCCAAGTAACTAGAAAAGTGATTCTGGTACATAATTAAGTGGGTGGAGTAGCAACCACATGCGAAAATCGAAGTCGCTAGCAGGAACTTGCTGGGTCAAAACTCAAAATGTAGAATCAGCCACTACAGCCAGCAAGTAGAGCACCAGTCAATAAAAAGAAAAAGAAACCAGGAGAGCAGCTCGTAATCCATAACGCCTAAGCACGTTGCTGCTTTTCTCACTAGAATTGGATTCAAAATAAGATCTCACAAGCGGATCTTAGATAGAGCAGACTCCGAGGACAATTACGCAGCGGCACTCAAACCTAGTCAGACTGGCACGGGCAAACACCAAACGGGTGGGATTGCTCCTAACACGGCATCTTATGGGTACCAAACAGCGAGAAATCGCGGGATGCAACCCAAATCTAGTGACCCCAAAGCGAAGCGAACTGATGAGCGAGGGGAGGGAGGGGGAGGGGGAGTGGAGGCAAGCTGACCTCCGCCAAAGAGGTTGGCGGCTAGGAGGAAAGGGAGCATGCGGCGCATGAAGCCCTTCCTCGCCTCGGGCGGCGGCGGAGGTGGGGGCGGGGGCGGGGGCGGTCCGGCTAGCTTGGGCTTGCCGTGGGCGGCCATCCGGTGGAGAGTAGACCTTCTTCTGTGTTCGGGGCGAGGGCGACCGCTGAAGGGCTGCCCCGTGGGCTGCAAGTTGCATGTTTGTGGTCGATGACCCGCAAGCGAGCCTGGCTTTCCAGAGCAAAAATCGATCTCTCCGTCTGGCTATGTGAAAATGACCGAAACCCTCATTTCTTTGGAACCGAGCACAAATCTGCAATGCCTTGAGGCGATTTTGGGCGGCGGCCGGGATAGCTCATGTGGCTCTGGCGGAAGGAGAAACATCTTGTGGCGTGCTCTCTCTCTCCGCCTCCTTCGCATGACGAAAGCGAAATGGCGGGCGATTCGCCCGGTCTTTATATCTGGTTCCCACTCTCCTCTCTCCTTCTTTCACTCGGTGCTTGCTCTTCCACCTCCCTCGTGAGAGAGACCGGCGGTGAGTTGTGGTGCGTGGCGGTGGCGGTGACCTCTGGTGGTTGTGGGTTAGAGGTCACCGTGCGCCGAGGTTCTTCGCCGTGTCCCGCTCGGTTTCTTCTTTGGGACTCCGTGGCAGCGGTGTTCCTCTTCTTCTCCGTCCGCATCTGTTTCATCTTCTTCCCGATCTGCATCCTCTACTTCCAGATCTGCCTCCTCTCCGTTGTTTGGACCCCAAGCTAAGGTGAAATTGACCCCCAATCTTCTTTTTTGTGGTGCTTCTTGAAGTTCTTAGGGTTTCTTGTTCGTTGCTGTTCATGATCTGTTAGGGTTCCGTACTTGTTATAACTGCTTCATGCTCCTATTAGGATTACTTGTACCTTGCTGTTCTTGATCTGTTGGGATCATGATCTGTTAGGGTTGTTGATCTGTTTTGATTAGTATTGTACATTCTTTGTTCATAAGCTTTGTTTGATGCGGTTGTTAGTGTTACTTGTACCTTCTTTGTTCTTGATGTGTTAGGGATGTTGATCTTTCGATTACTATTGCTCGAGTTTTTGTTCCATCATTGGTCGATGATGTTGTCCAAATTTAGTACTGGGAGGCATCACATACAAGATGCAGCCATGCTTTTGTTGGCATGCATTCATTTCACATTCATGTTGATGCCTAGCAGGGTACATTAAGCTAAAATCATGTTATATTTTTACATGCTTGTAGATGGATTTGTCTTTGAGCTGTGACATGCTGTGTAGGAAGGCAGCTGCCTTGACTGTTGTTATGGTTACCTTTGTATCCACTAATTTGAAAAGGAAAACCCCTAAACACGAAACCCCACTACCCGATCCTATAGCACGGTACGATTAGGGATGAAAATGAACAAAGACAGACAGAGAACACCGAGAATGATATACAATTCCACCGATTGAGTGTATTTCTATGATTAGGATGAAGAGAGTTGCTTTTTTAAGTTAGTGAGAACTTTTAGAGAGAGGAGTCTTGTCACTGATAGAGAGGGGGTGTCAGTAGAAGAGCAGGTTGCCATGTTTTTACATGTTGTTGGGCACAACCAAAGATTTAGGATCGTCTACAGGTCCTTTAGGAGGTCCATCCAAGCGGCCACAAGCACTTCCATCGGTGTTGTATCTTTGTGGGTGAGCTTAGGAATGAAATGATAAAGCCAGCTAGCACTACCACTCACCCAAAGATTCTTGGAAGCCATACATGGAATCCATATTTTAAGGTAATTGTATACCTTGGGTTCATTAGTTACATTAGACCTGTTGCAATGACTGACCCATGCTTTTTAGGATGTCATTGGCTTTATAGATGGGACTCATTTCCTAGCAAGGGTTCCTAGACGCATGCAACAAGCTTTTAGGGGTAGGAAAAAGGATCCCACCCAAAATATGATGGTAGCTGTGAATTATGATCTGAAATTCACTTATGTCCTGGCTGGCTGGGAGGGCTCTGCCCATGATGCAACTGTTTTGGCAGATGCTGTAGGCAGGGAAGATGGCTTGAGTTTGCCAGAAGGTAATTGCACACCAACACTAATTACATATTTCATGGCCTATTAACACACACTCTCACAGTAGATGTCTTGTGTAGGTAAAATGTTCTTGGTAGATGCTGGGTATGCATGCAAAAATGGTTTCCTACCTCCCTAAGGGGGGTTAGGTACCATTTGTCTGAGTACGGCCCAAGGAACAAGCCCACCAATGCAAGGGAGCTCTACAACCTTAGGCACTCATCACTTAGAGTGACTGTGGAGAGGGCTATAGGTGCAATGAAGGGCAGGTTTAGGATCTTGGACAACAAACCCTTCCACAAGTATAGGACACAAGTGAAGCTTGTAGTTGCCTGTGCCATTTTGCATAACTGGATCCTAGGTTTTGGCATTGATGAAATAGTGCCTGATGAGGAAGGTTTCACTACTTCTGCTGATCCAACCAACCTGCCCCCAGCCCATCTGGACTAAGACTCTGTTGATATGACTGAAATAAGGGATGCCATTTGCAATGCTATGTGGGAAGGGAGGGGAACAAACACTAGTTGATGTAATATGTTCTTGAATTTAGTTTCTGTACCCTGCTATGGAACTCATGTGTGTGTCATGGTGATGTAATAATTTGGTGGACAAAGCTGAGACCAATTTTATGCTTCATTTATTATGTTCTTGAATCATTATATTCTTCATAATCTGTCAGTCTATTGTTTATTCATACAACTGTTAATATTGTTGTCAGTCTGTTCTTGACTAATTCTGTTGTTGATTTCATTACATGCTAGTCCTAGGATGGATTCAGGTGCATTTGAGGGTGGGTTTGTTGCTGGTACTTTAGTGATGGAGTAGCTCATCAATGGTGGTTCTGCCCCTGTTGTAGCTGGTGCTGGTGCTGCTCCAGGTGCAGCAAACCCTGTTGATGTTGCTGCTCCTGTAGCTAGGAATGGGGCTGTGAGGGCAACGAGGTGGACCAACACCACCTCTGGCTTTGTGCTAAGGAGGATGGCTGCCCTTGTTAGTGATGGTAGCAGGCCTGACAAGGTTTTCAAGGACAAAGATGTGAATTCTGTGGCCAAAGCCCTCAAGCTGTTCTGTGGGGAGGTTGTTAGCCCAACTCAAGTATACAACCACTTAAGGAAGTGGAGGCAGAAATGGGCTAGGGTGAGCAAGTTGAAGGACCTTAGCGGTGCTCTTTGGGATGACCAGGCTCATGCTATCATGCTTGAGCAAGAGCACTACCTTGGCCACTGCAAGGTAGCAGTTTGATCTCGTCTTTGCCTTGACTACCTACATTTGCCTTTCTTAAACTATATTTACCCAACTCTGCAGGACCATCTGAAAGGTCCTTGTTGGTTTTGGTAATTGAGTGACAACCTAGGTGGACTAATTGTGTTTATGTGAGATACACAGGTGATTAGTCCACAGGTACATGTGTGTGAGCAACATATGCCATGAAGGTGAAAATGGCTTGGAGATGTTGCAAAGCTCACACATGTGATGATGAAGGAGCTTATTGCACATGAGACATGACATTGAGTCATGTGATCAAGGTGGAGAAGATCAAGACATGACTTGGCTTGATGGACCGGTTGCAAGCGTGAAGGGCAAGTCGAAGGCTTTGGAGTGATGGACCGCGTGGCGGTGAAGCTTGAGCAAGACTTGGCGCCGATGGACGATGGCAACGGTGAAGAGCAAGTGGAGTCAAGATCGATGAACCAATATGATCATGTGATGATATGAAGTGGATCATATCATTGTTGATCGTGTTGGTGCATGTGTTGCATCGACATTGGAGGAGATGGAATGGAATGCGCAAGGCAAAGGTATAACCTAGGGCATTTCATTTCACCGGTCATAGGTGTGTAGAGAAGTTTATGACCGGGTTTAGGATAGATGGCCGTACTATCAAGAGGGGCAAACTTGTTTGCATATTGGTCATCTAGTGCCACTCGAGTGATCTAACTTTGCATTGTCGCTAGGATCGAGTGGCGTGGCAAGATGAGTGGCTAACATCCTTTGGGAAATGATTGTGAAAATGCTAACACACATACACATGGTGGTGTACACTTGGTGGTGTTGGCACATTTACAAACGAGGTGGTGTTTGCAGGGGTGAGATGGGTTTGGGTCCCTCTCTCCCTCCCGCCGAGCTTGTGAGGCGGGATTCGGTGCTTTCGGGAAAATAGAATGCCTATTTTCTATTGGACCGGATGCAAAATTCTTGTGGTTAGCACATTGGAGCAAGGGTGAAGAAGTTAGAAGTGAGAACGAGTTGGTCGCGAAGATCTTTGGCGTCGATCAACCGGCCCGGACTGATCTGAATGAATGCATTATTTGGCAAGCTGCGTCCGGTCGTGGCCGACGTGGAGTATTGGAGAGTGACCGGACGCTGGCTGCGTCCGTCGGCGTTCGACCGGACGCGTCCGGTCATGCTCGGAGCTTCTTGGAAACGACCGGACGGCTGGGGGTTCTGCGTCCGGTCGGTTGAATCTTCGCGTCCGATCGGCGAGATGACCGTTGGGATCGGAAGATGACCGTTGAACGAGGGACACGTGGCGAGTATCGCGTGGCCGAATGACTGTAGTTCAGCGTCCGATCGATCGGACCGGAGCGTCCGGTCGTCCCGACCGTTGCCAAGTGAAGTGAAGGGTAACGGCTAGTTTAGCCCTTGGGGCTATAAATAGAAGTGGCCCTCGGCCATGGCTGGTGTTGAGCACCTCAAGGGACTTAGTGTCCATGCTTGTGAGTGCTTGGGAGCCCTCCATCACACACATACTTGATAGCGATCATTCGATTGTGTGAGTGAGCGATTCTAGTGCGATTGCATCGTGAGGTTGCATCGAGTGGCACTAGGTGATCGAGTTTGCGAGCCGGTGGTGCTTGTTACTCTTGGAGGTTGCCACCTCCTAGACGGCAGTGGTGGTCTCCGTCGAAGCCGCAAGAAGCTTGTGCGGCGCTCAGGAGAAGTGCTTGTGAGGGGCATTGTGCTCGCCCATGAGTCATGAAGAGCAACCTTAGTAAAGCGTGTCATTGAGCTACCCTCACTCAAGGGGTAGGTTCTTGCGGTGCCCGGCGACGTGCGGGCTTAGCGGGTGATGCTAATTAGCGCCGAACCACCAAGTGAGTGGTCGACACAACGGGACTAGCGTGTTGGCAAACACGTGAACCTCGGGAGAAAAATCATCGTGTCAACCTTGTTCTTCCGTTGGTTTGCATCCCCATTACACAAGCTTGCAATTACTTATATATATATTAAGCTTGTGTAGTTGCTCTTGTAATTAGATAGCTTGTGTAGCTAGCTAATTACCTTCTTGCTTGTGTAGCATAGAAGTAGCTTCCTTGCGTGGCTAATTTGGTTTTAGTAACCTTGTTAGTCACATTGCTTAGTTTGTGTAGCTAAGTATTTGCGCTCTCTAATTAGGCGTTGGTTGCCTTGTTATTGAGCATTGCTAGTGAGCTTAGTTAGCTTTGTGCTTTTGCTTACTAGCATGTGTAGGAGCTCCTTGTTACTTAAAGTACTAGTGGCATAGGTTTGTGTGACCTTGCTCCTAGAATTGTTTAGGAGAGCTCTAGCTAGCCCGGCACCTTAGTTGCTTTATTAGTATCTTTGCAAGGTGCTAGTGAACATATATAGAGGGGTGTAGTCTTGGCTAGACCGATTGTTTTAATTCGCATTTATATCGGTTAGTTTGACGCGATTAATTTTAGAAAAGACTATTCACCCCCCTCTAGTCCGCCATCTCGACCCTTCAAGTGGTATCGAGCCCGGTCTCTCATTTGTGGTCTTCACCGACCGAGAGGATGGCGAACTTTGGGCTAGAGGTTGTTTGTGACACACACATTTTGATGGCACAAACTATGCATGGTGGAAAGCGTCATATGCTTGATCATTTCCGTGAATTGGGTCCCAAGGCATGGTGGATCATTGTTGTTGGTTTTCTCGTGATGCTTTGGATAAGGACAACCTAACCCAAGCACAAGAGGATTGCTTACAACTTGATCATCGTGCTCTTTATTATCTAATATGTGCTTTACATGATGATGTTTTTAGACGTGTGTGGGACTTGGAGAATGCACATGATATGTGGCTAGCACTCCAAGCCTTCTACGGTGATTCCTCCACATGGGACGAAGGCAAATTCAAGAAGGAGGATGAGCCTAAGAAGAAGGTGCATGAGTGTGTTGAGCATAACCACAATTTGGTGATTGTGGAAGATTGCTCCACCTCATTGTCAAGTGAGGATGATGATGATCAATCCACTACAAGTTCACTTGACAAGGTTGATGATGATGCCACAAGTGTTGCAAGTGATGTTGCTACCCCATGCACACTTGATGGTGATGATGATTCATGCTCGAGCCATGATGATAATGCTACTACAAGCTCTCCATCTACATCACCACATTGCTTCATGTCACAAGGTGACACTAAGGTATCAAATGATAATGTGGTTGATCATGTTGAGTCATATGATGAGCTTGTTAGTAGACTTGCTAGCATGACCATGTCTTTAGAAAATGAGAAAGCTAAAACATTGAAATTAGAAAATGAAAACTCATTTCTAAAGAACTCTTGTGAAGAACATAAGAAATTGCTTAATGCTTATAAATCTTCACTTGATGAGCTTAAATTGAATCATGAGACACTACTTGCATCTCATGATGAATTATTAGAAAAACAAGCTTCTCTCATTAAAATATTTACAAAGAAACTTAAAAATAATGAGAACTCATCACATGGGTCAAATGATCAATCACATGTTGTTGCTAACCCTTGTGATGTAGGCAAGAAGCATGTATCCACCTCTCATGATGATTTATTAGATATGCCATGCTCTTCACATATAGATGCTTGTTCTACTTCTATGTCTTGTATGACTAACATTTTGAAGGAGAACAATGAGCTCAAAATGAAGTGAAGAAATTGAGAAATAAGTTAGAGAGGTGCTACAACTCAAAAGTCACCTTTGAGCACATATTGAAGACTCAAAGAATCTATGGTGACAAGTGTGGCCTTGGCTTCGAGAAGAAGATGACAAAGGGCGAAAGAAGAGAGAAAGAAAGATGAAGAAGATTCAACAAAGAAAACTCTCTCACACCATGTGCTACCGGTGTCATGAAGCGGGACACCTTGCAAATGGTTGCCCTAACATTGAGAAGCTCAAGAAGATAAAAAGAAGAAAAGAGGCTCAAGAATGTGAAGTGCTTCAAGTGCGTGCACTTGGGGTCATCTTACCTCAATGTGCCCAACCAAGCAATTGGTGAAGCAACTAGTGAAGCCTCAACCAAAGCCACAAGTTGAGCAAAAGAAGACACCCCAAGAACAAGTCAAGATCAACCATGAAGATGGTGGTGATTTGATGATAAAGAAGAAAAAAACAAGAAGGGGTGGAAAAGGAAGGCATCCAATGCAAATCCAAGATGCCAAGATGATGAGCAAGAATGAAGATGAGAAGAAAGTCTATGCTCACATCAAGTGCTTCAAGTGTGAAATACGGGACACTTTGCCTCTAAGTGTCCTAACAAGCTTGAGAAGAAGGCTCAAGCAATCCATGAGAGGCAAGGCAATGAGAAGCACCACATGAGCAAAGAAGAGAAGGCTCAAGCAAAGAGAAAGTGCTACTCATGCCGGGAAAGGGGACACATGGCACATTCATGTCCCCTAGGTAAAATTTCTAAGCCTATTTCAATTGATGATCATGATATGCTTAGAAAGGATGGTAATGGTACCTCTATGGTTGCTATTGCAAAACATCCCGCTACTCATACTAAGGCATTGGCTAAGTATGTTGCTCCTAACTTGAGAGGACCCAAAGTTGTTTGGGTACCATCAAAAAGTGGATGAATGTGTGTAGGTACCATTGGCATTGGAGGCTTGATTCAATTGTCTTCATAGTGATTATCATATGTTGAATCAAGATATGAAGTTTAGTGCACATCCAATCCCAATGCCATGACAAATTAAGTGAAGTCCAAATGTGCTACAACATACAAGTGAAAATTTCAAGTTGTTTGTGATTCATTGGATATATTTGATGACTTGCAAATAATTGAGTTGAAGCTTGCTAGTTGGATGATCATGAGCTAACTAAGATAACTTAGTGAAGCCCATCTCCACCAAAATTCGTGGTATTTGGATTTGTACCTTGGGATATATGCTTATTTCTTTGAAGGGTACAAAAATCATGGAAAAGTGACAAATGTTGGATTAATCAAGAGTCACTTTGATTGAAAGGTCCTCAAGTTGGAAACATGTTTACAAGTGTT